TATAAAAACGTAAAAAATGGGTAGCTTGGACTTACCAAGTTCAGATAACTTGTCATAGTTGGACTTCATGTTACAATAAACCTGCTTCTCGAGATCACTTAGGGCTCCCCAGGCGTCCTCGGCAAAGAACTGTCGTATGTGTTTAAACTTCTGATCTTCGACTTCCATCTTAACATTAGATCAACGGTCGCAGCAAGTGCGAAAACAACACAATCGCGATATTATAGGAACTTATAGCTTAAATATCAATAGGTAATTGTGTTGCTTCCAAGGCTATAGAACTCCTTGCTTCTTGTTGATTTCCTGTTGCTTACAGGGTTACCAACGAGAATTTTTCTAAATCCCAAGATCGCCGCGCGAATTTCCCAAAATCGAGCTCCATATCCCAAGGTCGACAGGATCAAAGCCCAATGTGCATCCCAAGGTCTATAGAAACCAAATATAGAGCAAATAAAGTGTATTTGACGTATTTTCAAATCTTTGGTTGACTAAATAAATCAATATCGTTAACATAACTTGCATTTGGCACAGTTACAAACGCAGGCATAGGTACAGAGACACAGCAAGTTACCTTTCTGGGTTTTACGTTTATTTCCCGTTTCACGCGGTTTCAGTCTGGCGGCAAAACCATCCAAAATGTACGCTCTTGACTAGCATCGATAACCCGAACAAATATTGGGACAGCTCGCAAAAATATCAACAATAGGTACAACACAAGGTATATAATAACGAACCGAGCCGCGAGATGATCACAGAATGATGAATCAAAATGAATGAATGTTGACCAATGCCAATGCATCGTTGAGCGTCCGATGGTTTACGATAGGAATTATAACAATAGTTTTAAACTAGCGCTTTTTGGAACTAGCGCTTCTTTCGTGCTTCGTTGGTTGCTTGGTAAGGTACAGTGAAACCAAACGAAAGAACGCTCGGTTGTGTTCGTCCAAAAAGGACGGTTTACAAAAAAAAAAACAATTAAGTTGTGTTAGATGTGTTCCTGATTCCTTTGTTTGGTCTTTATTAATACTTTTGCTTTTTCCAATGATTAAAAAAAATGTGTAAAAATTAGCGGGAGTCGTAAGCTCGGGACAAATCCCAAGGTTTGCTGTTGAATCCCAAGGTCCCAAGGTCGGGTTCAATATCCCAAGATCTTGGGACAAATCCCAAGCTTTGGTAACCCTGGTTGCTTACATTCGCTTACATTCATCTTCTGCTTGAGACCGGAAGTTTCATTCAAGGTTTCATTGAAATAAATTCAATTCACATTTTGTATTACTTTTTGTAATATTCGTCAATATTTTTTTCAGATAATAATGCAGAATAGGCAGTAATAAAATAATAAAGAATATTACAAGGAAATTGTGAGTTTGCCATAGAATTTGCCATGAATAGAGTTATTAAAAAGCTCTTGGGCAAAATACCGCTCTTTGTAAAGAACTTTACGACAATTTGTACAATTCTATGAATAACTTATTCATTTTTAAGAAAAGTATATATTTCTTTAATCAAAGTGTAATTTATAATAACTTGTTCTCTGGTGACTTTAAATATGCATACACTTTTAAAAAAGAAGGCATTGCATATTCTAAAATGACGTCATTTGCTTTTGACAAATTGAAAGTGTAATTCTTGCTAAGTTTACTTTATGCAGTGTTTTTATATACCAAGCTTGATTGATGCTTATCTGTAAGAATTTCTTTTGACGCCGACGTTGGAAAGGGGCGGCACGTCGGCAACGTTCGTGGTGATTTTTGAATTTTGGTGTACGTTGGTGTAGGGGGCGTTTCTTGATGCTAATTGTGATTGGTAAGTCCCTTTTTATTTCTATTCGTATTTCTGACCCGCATTTTAACGAGTTTAAGGTCGAAGGTAACCCTCGGAGCCTCCGTCATTTTGCGCTGCAAATGTCACGGGTGCGTCATAAGTGGTAGCAATGCCCGCTCAATTCAGTTGGGGAAATTACGGGACGCCGGTGAAAACAGGGCGCCGCAGGGCATATTAGTCACTTGATATTTGGGACTGCTCCCCCTTCGTGGGCCTTCTACATTCCAAACGTCACGTGTAAATTTCACGAACCTTGATCAAATCGCCCCAGGCGCCCTGTTTTCACCGTCGTCCAAATTACGAGGCGAAGATCGAAAAATTGATTGGTCAATACCGGGCTGTTCACGACGTCGGTTTGTCCCGTTTAATAAACCATAAACATGTTTATTTTTTTAAGGACCAATCAGCGTCGACCTGATCCTGACGTCACAGCCCGTCAATGACGTCAGACCGCCGTAAACCGTTTATGCGGTTGATGCCTCAGAGCATCAACATGGTGTGTAAACGCGTTTATCTGACAATGATGGCGATGTGCGGCAAACTCGTGAAGCGAGTTAGGTATAAGTTAGGAAATTTGAATTCGGACAGTTCAGGGGCTGGTAGGTGGGTGAATGAGTTTCAAAATAACCCTGCACGGGTTGCAGAGGACTGGAATGGTAGGTTTTATTATTTCATTGTAATTAAGACCTATTTTGAGCATCATTCTCTGCCAACCAGCGTCCAGCGTCGTTGGTATTTTGTGATGAAAACTGTCTCGCAATATGTCATGATATGAGACATATTTTATCTTTTCTTTGCACCTTTTACAGTATTGTCCAACTGCTTATTAGTTGTCACTGTTTAAGTAAACACTTGTGTTTCGTAAACGTAAACACCATGTGACGTCACAGCCGGGAACGTGCCCCGAGGGCAGTTTATGTAAACCACATAAACCGATGTCGTGAACAGCCCTAAAAAATATACCTTTGATGACCATATCAGTTGGGGAAACTACGAGGAGCCAAACAAAAATTGGATCAGCCAATCAACGGCTGGAGTAGGCTGGGTGATGACCATATATGGTCATAAAATCAGACTTCAAAATAAGGCATAAGGATGTTTTTTAACCACACAAGGCCTACACTCACTCTGTGCACATTTAACTGGCGGCTGTAAATCGCAGAGTGCCGAAATTCGGCGTTAGCGATTTTGCGCCGAAATTTCTGCATGATTTTCGCTGAAAGTTGGGTGTCTATTTGCACCAAAATTAAGCCACTTCTATGTAAAGCATGTGTGCACATCTACCAACCAAGGTTATATCAACCAGGCAGAGCGTTCTGGGCTCAAGCGTCTGAATTAGTTGATGTTACTATGGAAACTCAATTCCACAATGCGTGTAGCAATGTCTCAAAATTTGGCGATTTGGGTGGGAAATGACATCCAAAGGAAATCCATTTTCCACTCTCACCACCATTTTTAAGAACAATTTTCCACTCCCAACCAAGAAAACCTAGATTTTTTGGTATTAGTAAATATTACGTCCGAGTGGACAATTGTGACGCTGTTGATACATATATCAAACAGCAAAAAATTTAGGTTTTAGGTTAGGTTAGGTTGTAGGTTTGTAGGTTTTAGGTTTGTAGGTTAGGTTAGGTTAGGTTAGGTTGTAGGTTGGTGGGTTGTAGGTAAATAGGTAAGGTTAGGTCAGGTTTGATTATGTTTTTTCTTTTATTTCCAAGACATATAAGTATCATTTTTGGATTCAGGATGTCAAATAATGTAGGAATATGAAAACTTTATCTTTTAACAGTCACTCGGACTCAATGTATAGGTACTTTTACCGATTTTTTTACCTCTAGAAAGAGCGGTTGTGTGAATGCCCGGTTTAGCATCAAACATTCTACATCCTAGAATAAAATCCATGTTTTATGGCGTTTCTCACTCTTTTTGGATCTAATCGAATCAGCAGTTTTCCACTCTCTCCCCTCTTTTTGGTGGGTAATTTTCCCCTCTGACACCCCAGACAAAACTCAATTTTGGGACACTGGCGTGTAGTGTGCACCAATAGTGTCATACCGTGAAACAAGGCCCGGGACGGAAGTTCCAGGGCCACAAAAATCTGCGGAGTTGTGCGTTTTAGACTGGCAGGCACCAGCGAGGGCCAGGTAGCAGAGAAGCACATGCTCCGGCACGCCGGCCTCTTCTTGGCACATTGTGCACAGTGCCGCAGGGCATGACTTGTTCGGCCACTGTTGGCATGCCGCGGAGTGGAGACAGTCGATTTGGTGCACGTACTGGAGCGATCGGCCCCAGTGTCCCGCCCTCATCTGGTGCACCGAAACGGCATCCTCTCGGTCGTCTCCGAGGATGGGGGCTGCAGCGTGCTCCCAAAGAGTGGCTTGAATACTGACTCAGACCTTGTTGCACCATTGACACGAGGCCGCACAATGAAATCCCCGGGTCAAAGAGCTGGCGTCCGAGGGCAGTGCAGTCACTTGTCTCGCCAGGTCGTCCGCGCTCTCATTCCCGTCGATCCCTCAGTGGGCAGGAGCCTGGAACCCACTGCAGGATTACTTCACGATGCTCTGCGATGTTTAACAAGGTCTGCGATGTTTAACCTATCTCCGCGCCCAGGGTGGAAGCATCACCTGCAGGGCGGACGCTCCTCCTCTGAATAGACTCAGAACGGTTTGCGAGTCGGAGCACGCGACGACCGGGGCGAGGGATGTCTGGTTCCGCACCGTCTCCAGACTGCCCGCAGGGCGAAACTGATGGTAGATCGACTGGCGTGTCGTAAAATTCGGTGACTGCCTTCCGCCGAAAAATTATGCGGCCGCCCTGCACCGAAAAGTTCAGTGGCCGCCATGCGCTGAATTCTGCGCATACAAAGTTACGCCGGACGGGCCCTGAAATTTTCGGCGCAATTCCGTCACTATGCCGGACATATTCCGCATAAGGTGTATTTTTTCCAGTCAGGAACTGAGGACTCTCGTGGAAGCTAATCTAGGATGGAGTATTTGATTCGGTTCCAGTGCTCATCCAGTCTGGTCTTGAACTGGTTGAGAGTGGATACCAGGATCAGTGATCACAGAAGGAACCAAATCAGAACCAAACTGAACAAACCAGAACAGAACAAACCACACCACCTCTCACGAACTAACCAATTTCTGTCTCCCCCTGCTCCACAGCCCTCCAGAATGGACTCTCAGAAGTTCTGCCTCAAATGGGACGGGTTCCAGGGCAGCGTCACGTCCGTGTTTGACCAGCTCCGCTCTGGAGGAGAGCTGCTGGATGTCACGCTCTTCTGTGAGGGACAGCGTGTCCGGGCCCACAGGATGATGCTGTCTGCCTGCAGTCCGTACTTCAGGGAACTGCTCAAGGTGGGTGATGGGAAATGTACCTGGCGTCCTAGAGAGTGATAGGGGGCTGATGATAGTGTAAATGAAATGCCAGGTTGACTTATAATCATGATTGTAGTCAGTATAGTTCATTGAGTTGAGTTCTTAACCCACTCTAGGGCTACCAAAATTTAATGTGGACATGCATTTCCATTTATTAATATGCTTTTCCTACTCACAAGTGTCCTGATGAAACAGGGAATTGAAAATATAAAGATTAACATGACATCTATAACTGTATTGAACAATGTGCAGTGTGCACCCAATACTGCTTCCTTGATTGCCATACTTATTTTTATGCACTGGAAAGGGACGTGTCATGCATTCCTTTTTCACCCTCATGCATTGACATTTGTTGTATAATTTGTTTACAATTTGACTTAAAAACTGTGAATGCAATGATAATTGTTATTTGAATATGATAGCAGTGGCATTTAGCTTTAATACCGACAAAATGCCTAAAAGGCTTTGAACTTTGAGGTGTAATTGTATTTTTTGCTTTAAAGAGTTGCTTTAAATCTAGAAGGGCAATGAATTTTCTTCACATGCATCCTGATTCCTGAATAACTTTAATAGCGATGTGGAACGTCAAACTAACAAATATTACACTTGTTTAGTAGAACGAGAGCCGAACGTTCCTTCCGTGGGCGGGCCGAGAGTGCCGGGTCTGCGAGTCAATAAGGGTCATTTCACGCTTCTGTGTGGCTGCTATGTCCTTGCAGGTAGTGGTCTTGTACCTGCAGCTCAGTGCTCACCCATAATGATACTCTATCAAGTAGTACCTATAGCCGTAAAAACACTGACGCTGATTCCCCTTCCCTGGCAGGCTCGGCGGCTAATGCTCCGGGATCCTTACCGGTGGCGGAGGAGGGTCCTTCTCTCCGCCTCTGAAGGAGCTCACTGAACTACCCCCTCGCCCCGCGCCATCTGCGCCGTCCTCACCGCCGGCCGACCCGACCAACGAGAACGACACAGACGCCCTCCGGCACTGCTGGCAGAGGAAACTGAAGGAGAGCGTCGTTGCCAGACTACCCGGTGAGTGCGGGTTCGAATCCCGAGCGGGGTGGAATGTTTAGGTGCGATTTTAGATTATGTATTTAGACAGCACCGGTCTAGATTACCCATATGTTTGGCCAGGTGATTAGTGGTGGTATAAAAGGCAGTTATATTTGTAGTCCACTGAACTGGGCACACCATGGTTGTTGCTGAGAGTAGAAATATGTTTGTTTGCTTGCTTTTTAATATGCTAATATTTTACCGACGTTTTTGAAATCAAGAATTCCAGAGACTCATCTTGACCTTTTGAATTTTCAGTGGTGTGGATAATTTATAGCTAGTTCATTGTCATTGATGTGTAAATAAAATGTGCTGAATCATTTTGAGCTACATGAGATTGGCGAGAATTACTAATCAAAGGGGTTTTTGCTACGGGCGTCTGCGACCTCCCCCGTCCTGTTCCACGGCCGCCGCTAGCGCGCTGCCAGCACACGTGTCAAACTGGGTTTCCACGGAGACATTAACAAACTCGTATCTCCAACACTGTCACAATCTGTGACGTCAGCTCGCGAAATGCGCTATCAGCGTGGTAGCAGCGTCCAGTGAAACACCGCCGGTATTGGGATGCCTGGCGCCGCCCATGACGCCTGCCAGCTGGGCGCGCCTGGCGCCGCCGCTGCCGCGTGACCCGGGGCGGGGTCAGCGGCTGGCGGTCGAGGTACCGGCGGCGCGGCGGCCCGACAGAGGCGTGTAGACGGCTGAGGAAAGCGGCCCTCTCCCTTGGACTTTTGAGTTTGTTCCTTCAATATTACTGAATGCGGTATTCGTATTCGTCCTGAACTCAGTATTCATTCCCAGTACATTCAATGCCTGAAGTATTATGTAATTGGCTCCTGCAACATAATTATCTACCTCTTTTTTGCGTAGCATGGTGTTCCATACGCTCAGACTTCACCCGACGGGCGTTCCCGTCTTTTTCTCCGACAGAGGCGCCTACCTGCACCAGCTGCTGTCCCGGTACATTTTCCCCGGAGCAGAGGTGCTGGTCGATCCTGACGACTCGGACAGTCACGACAGACTCGCTGGACTCGGACCGCGGCAGTGACGATGAGGTGAGTTAGTGCGAAAGGGTGGGTTCGATTCCAGCCACGGGAAATTGTATTTTTCGGTTTTCCATATTATTTGTGTATTGTTACACTTGCATGGATCAGCGTCCTTAATTGCTTTCGTTGATATCAAATTTCGACTTCAAAGTGCGGAGCTGCTTCAAAACTGCTTTCTTTCGGCACATTGTGTCGCAACTCAGCAATAGCTTCGCATCTTATAATATTACAGGTTTCCTATAAATATTTTATATTTATAAACATCAAGGCACATCATAGGTAATCAATATTCATTCTAGGATGTGTTACCACACATCATCTCGGAGCACATCAGGGCACTAACACCGTGCCCCTTCTCTTTCTCCAGTCTCCGACTGCTGAGGGCGACCACCCGAACAACTCCACGGATACTCCGGAGACGGCAGTCACTCCCCCGCACACCGACTCCTGTCCTCCAACGCCTCCTAGACGAATTACAACCTCTGGAGCATCATCGGGAGCACCGGGGACGTCTTCTTCATCACCTGCTGAGGAGCAACCCTCGGCTACACCGGCGATGAACCCTTCTTCGTCATCTGATATCGATATGGAGCCAGAAACGGTGGGTTCGCCGGGCTCAGCCCTGAAAAGGCCGATCAGTGAAACACTAGGTGAAGAGGAGGGGAGCGGTGTGAAGAGACCGGCGTTCTGTGGCGGGGGTGAGCCTGGCGTGTCTCCCGCCACCGCCAAAACCGCCCCCGCCCCCGCCACCGCTGGAGACAGTGGTGGTGCGCAGAGTGCGTCGGAAAACACCACCGCCGCAGCTGAGGCGATCAGCTAATCTATCACTTCGGGATTCGGTATCAGGGGATTCGGTAAAACACACAATGGGGATATCAGTTCGGTGAGGGTGTTCACGCACACCATTGCTCATACTGTTAGACAATTAACCACAGATGCTATTTTCATACAGAGTCAGCGCGATGTGCGCTAACCATTTGCGTCTAGGTGACTGATGTGCTTGAACTGCAGATTGGCCGAGATAGGAAGTGCCGCGTGGAATGTGACTAGAAAGTGGAATTTGGGAACTCAATTGAAGCGATTCCTATGATAGTGATCATGTGAGCTATTTTGGAGCTATGAGCCAACGGTGACCTTATTTAGGACTAACATCTTTGGAGTTAAACGGAACGGAACGAGCCAGTGGCTAGCTTTGAGTAGTTTTAAGCCATTGGTGAGCTAATTTGGAGCTCGGAGCTCAGGATGAGCTAATTGGAGATTTAAGGAGGATGAGCTAATTTGAGCTATCTGAACCAGTGGTGAGCTAATTAATCCCATCTTTTGGCGTGTAGCCGAACAGTCGCTCCCCAAATAGGTACGTACCTCATTCTATTCATGACGTCTTTTGATGAAACACCAGCGGTTTCTTGTATTCAGTGCCAGTTCCGCCAGGGGCGCGCTCATCTTCTATGACACGCCGTCCGGCGACCTTGGGATCCCACCTTGGCGGGGGTAGACGTCGTTTCCCCCGACCCAGACCACCACCGTACCTAGGCGCCGACCCTCTGGTCGTTTTCCTACGACCCAGGCCAACACCGGGCCCAGGCGCCGGCGGGCCCGGTGCGCTGGGCCTCTGCTCGTGCGGCCTCCGCCCAAGTCAGTAGCTGCTAACGAAGCCAGTCGAGTCCCCCGTCCACGCCAGGCCGTCCCGCGCCGCTACGGTAAGGTGGTGTGGCGGACAGGCTTCAAAGCCGGCCCGACGGACCATGGAGTCTCCTACCACCAGGGCGGCCACGCCGACGTCTGGGGGAGACTCCGGCGCTCCAGCACTCTCGGGGACGGTAGCAGCGGCGGCGCTGCCGTCGCAGCTGCTTCGCCGCCGGCGCCATCAGGCATGATGTGACGTCCTACCGACCGCGCCAGTCTTAGGAGAGACCCGTAAGGAGGGACATGAGCGGGGGAAGGGCTCTCGAGTGCAAATCGCAACCAACCCAACAGACGTACCCTGTGAACCCAACAGTCTTCTTTTTTTACGCTCAAAGAACTTTATCGGCGCCACTGAACTGGCGTCTAACGCAGTACGGTGGAAGTCAGCACTGTTTCATTCTTAGTGTAAATCCGGAAATGCTTGCAACAGAATGGGTGCTACTTTTCCGTGCCAGGCTGTATGCTGGCACCAGGGCCTCTTTTTCCATCATTTGGTACGAGTGCTCCCTCGGCCATTGTCTGCTCTGAGAGGACTTGGCTGAGTCTGTCTCTTGAGGTGGCTCGTACGTTGACTTGTCTTTACCCCGACCGTCCGTCATTGTAATTACGGTTCGTCGGATTTACATATTTAGTGTTGGACGGTGAGCTGAAGTTCTCGTCATGTCATCTGACACACGAGTCACCAGACGTTGTGGTGGTATTTCAGCTGGAACATTCAGTGTTGGCACTCTTGTAGAGAATATGTGGCCCGTTGGAGGGCTGGGTTATTTGGCCGATTCAACTTTGATTTCAGTACATTACAAGTGAATTGGCGGATCAGCGGAACAAACTGTACGCTCCTGGGTACCCCGAACCTACGGGGTGTCATCCCGTGCCGCCGCTGGTGGAAAATCCACCTCCAGGTGACAGCCGTCGAGCTGGTTTTCTGCCGGCCACCACCCGCGCACAAGAATGCAGGGCACGTGGTCAGTACCGCCGTCTGTAACATCACGAGATGACTTGACCTTGACTGCCGGTCCGGCGGTGCTGATTTGTCCTTCTATTATAACTCGACCAAATTCACAAATTCACATGTGCACCATTACCTGGTTGTATGCCCCTCTCTTTGAACTAAAAGTACACGAAGTTGGCTACGTCAGGATGTGGATGCGACGGTGACTGTTGTTGCAGTTGGCCTTTGGATGCTTTCCGGAACATCGGAGGCAGCATGGTTCCACCACCGTCCAGCACCGCCTAGCACTGTGTCCGCACTTTCAGCAGTGCTGGCACAGCAGCGGGCTGGGTATCCACGGTCGGAGCTGGAGATCTTGGAATCCCGCTCGGATGGTCTTTGGGATCGCGTTTCCAATGAAGGAGAGGCGCAACCCTGGGTGTGGCCGTCCATCTTTAGAACGGAGTCGGCGTTCCGTTCCCCGACCACGTCCTGGGGTCGGAGTTAAGACCTCCTCAGGGACTTATGCCAGGGAATGTGCCTGTGTCAGAGCTTCTATGATATTCTGTCTCAGGGCTGGTTCGCAGGTCACCGGTTCTTCTATGAAGCAATCTAGTCGGGGCAGAGTATCTGCTTGTTCGGGGCTGAAGGCGGTGATCAGGAGCGCGCCAGATGACATGGACTTCGCAGCCTGCACCTCCCCAATCAGGGTGCGGATTTCCCCAGCGATCAGGAAGGGACTGACCCCGGTGAGAGATGCGGCCGTTTTGATGCCAAACGAGGATGCGGGTGCACCTCATCGGTTCAGCCGCTTCGCTGTTTATGGCTTACTTTGGAGGAGCGATCCGATGCACCTATGGAATATTGGCCCCACCAACCTTTCTGGGATAGCAGACCTGTCGGGCAACTCAATGTCAGCCATACTCCTCCTTGGCATCATTAGGCACATGATCTTCATCCTCTGACTGAAGAGGACACCGGTTGTTACAGCGGGCGATAGTCTAGCTCATATGCAGCGGGTCCTAGCAGGTGAAAGACAATGGTGGCCCAGCGTCCGCCGGGTAGGCTGCGCGCGCTGCTCGCTGTGGCAGCGGCGGCCAGCCGATCGGCCCGCCGGCCGATACGCGGTATCGAATCGTCACATTCTCTCCGCCAAAATGAAGGAATTTACAAATTGACACATTGAAAAGAGCAATGTCACTAGTCCTGACACAGAGACCACTCGCGAACCCTCACTTCTGGCCGCGGCACTCGTTATGGTCTGGCGGCTGTCGTCTACACCCCATATGGGAAGCTCCGGGGAGTCGACCCTCCCGTGACCCTCGGGAGAGGTGAGTCGGGCCCCTCCGGAACCAGGCGGCACACTCTGAGTTGAGGTAGCACACATGTTGCTGTTTGTGAGTGGACTGGCGGACCAGCGGAAAAAAACCGTACGCTCCTGGGTACACGAAGCTACGGATGTCATCCCGTGCCGCCGCTGGTGGAAAATCCACCTTCAGGTGACAGCCGTCGAGCTGGTCTTCTGCCGGCCACCACCCGCCCACAATGATACAAGGCACGTGGTCAGTACCGCCGTCTGTAACATCACGAGATGACTTGACGTTGACCGCCGGTCCGGCGGTGCTGATTTGTCCGTCTATAATAACCCGACAAAATTCCAGCATGAGCTTGCGCATTGAGTTTCGCCAGCACCAAGGAGCGCGCGCCCGGGCCAGCGCCAGCATTGGAGCCGGTGCCGAAGGCGGCGAGGTCGGCACGGGAATCACGAGCGTCGGGATATAAATCAACAGTGCCGCCAGCAACGGAAGGGGCACTATAGTTCGTTTTTTTTATAAGTTCGACCCTCACTGTAAACATCTTTTTGAACAAAGCACGAGAATTGCTAGCTGAATTACTTAAATAACTGGTTAGCGCACATTGTACTGGAGATACGAATAATATTTTCCAAATGAGTTTTTAACACCGATAATATACCCTTCTGTTAAACGCCTTACGATTTATTGACTAGTTCAATTATAATTTCTGACAAGTCTTCTTTCCCTGTGGGGTTGTATATATAGGCAAATACGAGCTAGGAGTCTGGAAACTAAGAGCCAGGAAGAAATACTTGTGAATAAAACTAATCGTCTGTGAAATCAATGTGCATCAGTCAGTTTTCTCAATAATTCAGCTAGCAATTCTTGTGTTATGTTCAAAGAGACGATTACAGTGAGTGTCGAACTTAAGAAAAACGAACTATAGTACTGGCGCTGGTGGCGTCTTCAGCGTGAACAGCGCGGGCGCCCGGACCAGGGCCGGCAACGGTGCCTGAACTGATATCAGCACCGGAGACCAGCGCGCAGGCAGCGCCGGTGGTACCCCCTTGGGCGACGGGGTTTATTGCATCTGACCCCCGGAGGAAGCGGGAGCCGTAGAAGACTCGGCTCTTCCTCCGGACTGCACGTTTTTTGACCGGCAAGCAGGTTAACTTAGTGTGACCCTTCTTGCCGCAGGCGTGTTAAGTAATCGCCACGTCCCATGTGGATTGTCCATGATGGTGATACATACACACAGACATACATTACATGCATACATACATACATACATACATACATACATACATACATACATACATACATACAAGTAGCGTAGCTGCATGTAGTCCTAATGCGACCATTTTTGCCGCATGCGAAACAGGGGCCGCTGGGTTCCTGCACAGAGGATGGCCTTGACCGTCCGCTCCTGGGTACCTCGAACCTACGGGATGTCATCCCGTGCCGCCGCTGCTGGAAAGTCCACCTCCAGGTGACAGCCGTCGAGCTGGTCTTCTGCCGGCCACCACCCGCCCACAATGATACAAGGCACGTGGTCAGTTCCGCCGTCTGTCACATCACGAGATGACTTGAGGTTGACCGCCGGTCCGGCGGTGCTGATTTGTCCGTCTATAATAACCCGACAAAATTCCGGCATGAGCCTGCGCATTGAGCGGCGCCAGCACCAAGAGAGCGCGCGCCCGGGCCAGCGCCAGCATTCGAGCCGGTGCCGGAGGCGGCGAGGTCGGCACGGGAATCACGAGCGTCGGGATATGAATCAACAGTCCCGCCGGCAACGGAAGGGGCACTATAGTACTAAAGTACTTTTTATAGTACTATAGTACTATAGTACTGGCGTACTATACTATTTTTTATAGTACTGGCGCTCGTGGCGGCTTCTGCGTGAACAGCGCGGGCGCCCGGACCAGGGCCGGCAACGGTGCCTGAACTCGCATCAGCACCGGAGACCAGCGCGCAGGCAGCGCCGGTGGTACCCCCTTGGGCGACGGGGTTTATTGCATCTGACCCCCGGAGGAAGCGGGAGCCGTAGAAGACTCGGCTCTTCCTCCGGACTGCACGTTTTTTGACCGGCAAGCAGGTTAACTTAATAATGTGACCCTTCTTGCCGCAGGCGTGGCAAGTAATCGCCACGTCCCATGTGGATTGTCCATCATGGTGATACATGCACACATACATACATTACATACATACATACATGTATGCATGCATACATACATGCATACATACATACATACATACATACATACATACATACATACATACATACATACATACATACATACATACAAGTAGCGTAGCTGCATGTAGTCCTAATGCGACCATTTTTGCCGCATGCGAAACAGGGGCCGCTGGGTTCCTGCACAGAGGATGGCCGTGACCGTACGCTCCTGGGTACTCCAAACCTACGGGATGTCATTCCGTGCCGCCGCTGCTGGAAAGTCCACCTCCAGGTGACAGCCGTCGAGCTGGTTTTCTGCCGGCCACCACCCACGCACAAGAGTACAAGGCACGTGGTCAGTACCGCCGTCTGTAACATCACGAGATGACTTGAGGTTGACCGCCGGTCCCGCGGTGCTGATTTGTCCGTCTATAATAACCCGACAAAATTCCAGCATGAGCTT